TTTCAGTGCTTATTTGTCCACAAAAAACAAAACAAAAAAACACTCACAGTATTTTCATCGGAATTTATTTTGTCACCGTTGTCAACTGCTGAGAAAACACGTTGAAAATGTTGATGTCATAGCTGCACACGTGATGCGACATTCTGGGTCCTGTGTTGCCGAAATTCCTCGGGTTTGCCCCGGTGATTGCGAATGAATGGACGCACAGAGATAACGATGAGAACACGAGACATTTTCTCCTTGTGATTCCACGGTGAGGCGAAAACAAACATGGTTGTCATGCCTCCAGACAAATGTGACTGCTATTTTGTGGATACGATGAGCGGGGAATATTTGTTCATTTTATCCCCAATGAGTGTTGGTTTCATGGGTAGCATGGCTCACCACCCAGGGTGCCGTTTTGTCTAGGGGATGACCGCAAACATTTTAGGAAGAAAAAAGAAAATTAGCTTTCTTTTTAATAAACAGGTTATTATTTTGAAAATCTTATTTTCAAAAAAACAAACAAACAAAAAAAAGTATTATTATCTCTTTTGGTCTCATGAACATAATATTGTGCTTGAAAACATAAAGACCAAAAAACGTTTACACCGACATGTGACTGTAAGCTTTATTGCAGAGCATTAATATCAAAGCATATTTTCAATTCCACAAAAAAATAATTTAAATCAATTATACATATTTTATTAACCAATGTTATAACGACACAATAACCTATTCCCGGCTGCAGTGTTGAGTCTGGGAGCCCAACCCTACAGCCATGACCTGCGGAGGGTGCGTCTAACTCAGGTGAATTCTCAGGAGTTTGCTCACCTGAGTCATTCCTCACAGTCGGCATACTTTCAGAAACATATTCAAGTAAACCAAGCCCATCAATAGCACATCTCTTAGATAACATCATTCCTGAGGCCTGACAAAGCGGGGCAGTATCGCCGTCGTTTTCAGCTTGTTGTAACGTCTAAAGCTCTCTTATGTCACTGGGCTGTTAACATGACCCTCGTCTTGAAGAGGCTGTTTGTAATTAGAGCATCCGCTAAGACCTTGCTTTACGTCCCCCTCTGTTTGGGTTTGGAAGGCTTCTATTTACATAAAGCCTTAGTGTTGTATCCTATTGGCGTCAGATTAGACTCTGACTGGAAGAGCGAGTTAGGAAACAACTCAGTTCAAAAGCGACTCAAAGATCAGAGGTTTTTACACTGAAAGGAAAGGGCTTACGAGAAACAGAAAGAAGCCCTCATCATTATCATCACGCAGAAATGAGTCATGATGCACACCTGGAAAAACTTGTGAGGGAAGTGAGTTAGTGTGAAGATTTTGTCAAGATTTGGATGAGCTCTAAGCTGGAGCTGTTTCTGAGAGAAAATGCTTTTTAAAGGCTTTAAAAGAATTTTGTCAAACTACTGATTTTAAAACCTATCAATGGGCTATTAGAGCTTTTCATATTATTGTATGTTATGTGGTTTCTTACAGGAAGGAAGGTTGGCAAACTGTAAATGTTTTATTATATTTGACAATTTACATTGCTGAACTACAACAGCAACAAAAGTTTAATGAAAAACAAAGAAAAACCTTCTGAAGACCTTGACAAATAGTAATATGAACAATTTTTTTTTTAAAATGTCCAAAGTACACGGGTAATTGGAAGCAAAGCACGGAGAATAGGTTACCATTTTAAAACTTTTGCAAAGAAAAAAGTATATTTGTGTTAACGAGAAAAACAAGAGTACCAAAACTTTGGTCCTTTTTTTACATTTGGCACACAGATTTTGTTTCAATTTTATTATTTATAACCAAACCAAATTGATTTCAGGTGTTAAATTATCAGTATTGTCATCCTATAAAATCTCAAATCTTACATAATTTCTGAAGATGTTGCCTTGCACTTAAATCAGTTCATTATTGGTTATAGTGGTGTGTGTGTGTGTGTGGCTGTGTGTGTGTGTGTGTGTGGGGGGGGTGTGTGTGTGTGTGTGTGGGGGGTGTGTGTGTGTGTGTGTCACTCAAATCAATTCAATCAATCAATTCATTGGAAATATAGCAATAAAACAGGCTAAACTCAAAAACCCGTGACGAAAGATTCAATGGATGACTCCACCAATTGGAGACTTTTCAAAAGGATAGAGAATATATTCTGCTGCTGACTTGTTTGGGCAAAAATGATGGACTGTCAGGTGGATCATGCTGACTAAATCCCAGTCAGATGCTAACACGCTAATATCTGAAAGTAGCATCTCTTTTAGCAAATATGTTTTCTCTGTCACATACAAAAAGAATGAACTTTGCTCATACTGCCTTCTTTATTTTCCTAAATCCAAAAACCACCTATGTGTGTAGCATCAGGTCTAGAAATAATGAACAAAATATGGACTACAAATCAGCTTGCTTTTCTATTTAATGTGCAACAACATTTTGGACGGACCGTTTCATACGATCAACCAAATAAAAACTCCTGGGGAATAAACCAACCTGCATACGTAATGACACTTTCCATTCCATTTCCATTATTTTTATTATTGCTTAAATCTTTAAATTTTCTCAAACTTTCAAAAGTATAAAGGCCAACCACTCCTTTAAGAGCCGCATGAATAATATATGCCTCGCTCAGGATTAATGAGTTACTTCTGTTGGGGAGAAGGTAAGAAGAGATACTGAGTGGGAGTGGAGTTGAAATTATCTGGATGATGAAAGAAGTTGAAACATGTTTCTTCCAGCCGTCGCCACCCTGCCTCTTCTTATCAGCGCGGCATCTTCTGTTTGCTATTGTTGCCCCTGAATGACACATTCTCTCCTGCTCTTGCTTCTGGAAGGAAATAAGAAATCCCAGAAGATTTTCCGAAGATGTCAGACTTGGCATTCCACATTGTGAACGTTGCACTGTTGTAATGACAAACCATGGCCGAATGTCTGGACAGACGGCTGAAACCAGACAAAGGAGATCTTTTGTGAGTTTCTCTGGAAAGTGGCAAGAAAAAGGTGTATAATATGGAGATTGGAATAACTGTTTCCGATATGTTTCAGAGTCAAATATTCAGAACCAGACGGATTTAGTTAACAACAGCCCCCATGGTGGGTCAACTAAGAGCTCTGGTGACAAAAAAAAAAGAAAAAGTTTGCCCTTTGGATCTCAGGGTAACGGTGCAAATTTAAATGTTTGTGTGTGTGTGCGTGTGTGTAAGATTAACGTGGTGCCAATTTGTGAAGCAGTATTTTTAGATGGAAAGAGGGCCCATCCACTTCTGTAATACTCCACAGATCAAGGCTTCGATGCGTTCATTGAAGCGCGATCCCACTTCAAAGCTTTGCACATGGACGGGATCTGACTGTGGGAGGGGGGAAACCAACGATATGTTTCATTACTCCTGGCTGACGATCTGACTCTGGGTCACCTCTGACCTCTGAATGTGTGTGCTCACAACACACTTGCCCTCCACGGAGGATCCTCAGCTGCAGATATTTAGGTGCAGAAGGGCAGGTCTGACTAAAGTGCTGGAATAAATTCACCTCGTTTTGAAATAGCTGCTTAGAATTATGAAATGTTTTCTTTGAATGGGGCAGTTTTTTCTTTTTCTTGATTTGATGTTTCTCATATTGTATGCTAATTTGTGTAACAGTCTGATAGGAACTTTGGCTCATCCTTTATTTTGTGTTTCTAAGTCTCGCTGGAAGGGAGACAGACTCCTGTAGTTAAAAGTTTTCTGAAGCTCAACCAGCTTCTTCCGACTATATAGGTGTTGTTTTTTTTGTTGTTTTTTTTTTTTACTTGTATGGAGCATCTGAGCGTTCGGCTGTTTAGATTACCGCCTATGCAACATTAAGTCACAAACTAATAAAAACTACATAAACTAATAAAAAATACATAAGATACTTTGACAGAGCATTAAATATAATTTTGAGTATCAACAAGGAGATTTTTGTCTCAAGCTACTAAAGATCTACTTGGTGAACTTGGCTTAATGTTTCGGGTGACTTTTTTGCAGCTCCACATTCTAACAATCATGAACAGATCATTCTGGATCTCTTAAATATCACTACTGTCCTGTTGGCTATGAAGTGTTGAATATACAAATTCAATAGAGGAAGTAAATTTAATGATCACTCAAATCTTTAAATTTGTTTGTTCAAAGAATCAAACTGAATTATTTGGGAAAAGTGTTTAACCGACATCTAAACAATTGCATTACAAAACAGTGGCCACGTTGCATTAATGAAGATTTGTCTTTTAGCTGTTCAATTTAAATGATTTCTATAAAGAAACTGTCAGGTAATATCTGGTTAAATAAAGTGGAGACAAATTAATTTTCTGGTTAAATTGCAACAGACTAAGGCCTGCATAGTGCTAAGCTCATTTTATGGCCATATGATCAGGTACTATTGTTGTAAACTGACTCATTTAATGAATACAACCCAAGTCGCTTTTCAAATGACTCTATCCTGGAATTTATCACTAAACGGTTCCACCCTCCCAACAATCAAAAAACCTTTGTTCACCATTTCTATCAACCCCCACCCCCTGCAGTTTGAATATCATCTTGGACAAAATTAGGTCTCAGAACAGCAATCTTTAGCACCACACCAAGAAAAAATTCTTTTGATTTTAATAGTCTTCAGATACACAAATTTTATGCTTCCACTATCAGGTTGTACCAGGAGCCATGAAGGTCGCCGCACCTCGGAAACAGGTGTGTTCAGTGACACCACAGAGTCTTCAAAGTGTCCGTTGATGCCGACTGAACTCGCTATCAGTCATGACTCAGGCCCAGAACGCTCCCAGTGACAATAAAAGGTCACATTCCACTTGACGCCAGAGCGGAAGAGGGACTTTCCTGTCCTCCACTCCCTTTTTACGGTTTTCATGTGCAGCATTTGAGAAATAGTGCTGGTGAGAGGTATCCATGCATGTCAGGTGCTTCCACCCCCCCATTTGACTCATGCAGGTCTAAACATTAACAGAATTTAAGAAAACATGTTCAAAGCAAAAAAGTCAAAAATAAAACATGGGGTGATGGTAAAAGCAAATAGATATTTATTTAAATAAACCACATTTAGGCAGAAAAAAATAATTTAAACACAAGCAGTTTACCAGTAACACCACAGATCCTGGAAACACACAAAAAAATAAATTAACATGATTTCAGGCGCCACTTCTCTGTGAAGAGTAAACATGAAACGGTTCAGAGAATTCAGTCCTCTTTGAGCTTCTAAAAGTTCATGAGTCCATTTGGACCAGCTGTCCCGTCTCTGAGGGAACCCGGGCCCGAACGGTCCTTCCTCTCTGGACCGGATGACGAAGGCTTCCGTTGATCCGTTTTCCCATTTTTCCTCAATGGTCCTTGGAGACTCTAGATAATAATAACAACAATGATCAGTTTTTAAAAAGCGTCATGAGTTTGCGCTTGCAGCAAATCATTTTTACATTCACACACAGGGCGATCCAGCATCCCGGATCCTTCCTCACCATATTTGGAGCAGTTCCGATCCTGCGCCTCGGCGCGGCGCGGCTCACGGCGCCCTGGCCATGCGCTTCTCCTGTCCGGGGAACGCGCTCTCGTTGTCCTGCCGTGACTTGAAGTCCTGGACGGCTTCCCTGTTCTGGTAGTCGATCAGGGCCATCGTGATCTCCGCGTGCCAGCCGGCTTGCTCCGCGGGATACCGGAAGTCAATCTCTCTCTTGTCTTTGGTGACGATGGTGAAGTACATGAACTTGTCGGTGCGCTCCACGCAGTCCACCTTCTTGATGGACTGCAGCTTGAGCTCCTTGACCTTGGAGCGCTTTACGTCCGCGTAAATGTTGAGACTGTCCCTGGTCAGGACGCACGTCTTTTTCTTCCAGAACTGGAGGAAGCTGTCGCTCCTCTTCTCTAGGTCTCCCTCCTTGAGGATTTCCTCCGCTGGCATTTTCATTCTTCTTCTTACTTTGTTTTTCTTTTTTGTCAAAAAAAACAGAAAAGGATGGCGAGGGTTTAGTGGGCGCACTCCTCCTCTGCGTTTCCGTCCGAAGACTCCGAAGAAGGAGCTCCTCTGCAGATGTTGTAGTAATCCAGAATGTGGCCGTGAATGAAAGAGGCTCCCCGGGTTTTTATAGGCTCAGCCCCTCCCTCCTGACGTCAGCTGCTGTTTGGGAATGCAGCTGCCAGAGGAGTAATTCAAGGCTGAGTGTGGGCGGAAGCCGTGGCGCACATGCAGGTCTGGGGAGGAAGTGGAGCCAATCACGCCGCCGACATGTCAATTTGTAATCCACATCTCGCTGTGGAGTTTGTCCAAATATTTGCCCTTTCTGTGGCGATGGCCAGATGTGCGCATTCACACTGATCTTGGGAATGTATAAAAGATTTTAAAAACTGTAAAAAAAAAAAAAAAAAAAGTGCAGTTCAGACAGGTCAAAATATTATGACCACTTGCCAGAGTCTTTTTGTGACTGTCTGCCTTCACTTCACTGGCAATAACAACTCGTCCACTTCTTTGGGAAGCCTTGAGAATGCATATCGGATTTTGGGCCATTTTTTGACGAAATGCATTTGTGAGATTAGACACTGATGTTGGACGACATGGGCCGGCTCAGACTCTCTACTAACTGATAACTAAATGATTAGTCAAAAATCACCTCAAAGTGAAATGGAACCAATTAGCACCTTTCTTAACAAACCAAACAATCCTTAAGCTATTCACTTTGGACGGCAGTAGTCTTTTCTCTTGTAGCTGTGAGTTTAATTTTGTTTATTTAAATGGACACCTGCTTGTTTCTTGGTCGATTCTGTGCACACTGAGTAACTAATCATATAGTAACATAAAATAAATTCACCATTGAACAACAATTGAGCAGGCATTCAGTTTCCCAGTTAGGTTTCCATGTTACCAAGAAACCATTTATTTTTGTTTTATAGCAACTTAATATGAAATAAAAATCTACAGGTTGTAAAACAATTTAAAATGAATCAAAGCGCATTGATCTGTTTATCTGTAGGGGCCGCTTGTTTATTTGAAATAATAAAGTTACAATACTAGGGTGATAGGCAGTTTACTGGAGCAAAGGTTCATTATTATCTAACCCTAATCTGGTTTTCATAATATCCTGACCAACCTGTAAAATACTAGAGTCAGAAGTTTCTGCTTACTTTTGATTAACATTTAATTAATTAAATGTCAGAAAGTAAAGTAAAATCATCTTTAATTATATAAGTAATTTTATCAAGATAAGTAAATCGGTCAAGACAACCTTAAATCTGCAGACACAGCTGGCCTTACAGTCAGACCTTTTCATTGTTAAGTAGAATCTCAAAAGATGAGAGAATCCAAAGACTTTAATGGATTTCACAAGTTTCTTCTCATTTACATATAATCATAGCGAGAAAGGAAACAGCGAAGTGAAAGCTTCACAAACAAACTTTGATATCACTCCTGAGGAGTGGCTCCTCTCTTATCTGATGACATGCGGCGCTGCGCGCTCCTTTAACGGCTCCTGACCGCAGCGCCACCCTGCCGGTCAGCTGACCCACTCAGTCCTGGCTCTGCATGGTAGTTCATTCAAGAGGCCCGTCATTAGAAAGCACCGTCTTGACCTGAAATCTGTGGGGACTTGTTTGGTTTCAGTCAAAATACACAACAGCAACCGCAGACAAATAAGTCATGCATTGTCTGATGTTCTTTAAAGGTTCAACACATTTTTTGCATCTTGTAATGCTTCAACAATAAAGAATGATTCGTTCATTTATTGTTTTATATTTAAAGGCATTGTGCACATCTTAACTGAATAAGATCAATTTTCTTTTGAATTTGATCAAATTACAAAACACTTTATAAGGCTATAAGAGAAGGAGACAATCAGATAGATGCGTGAGGTGATAAAGTAAGCACTATGCAAAGGTCAACTTAATGCATCCCCCTCGTTTCTTTCACCTCATGACTTTTATTGGATAAACTTGCTTTGCTATAAATTTTAAAGTTGTTAAATGATCTCAAGTTTTATCTATATGAGCTGAAAGACGGAAATTGTGCGTCTATTTGGATCAAAAGCGATTGCAATTGCAGACAAAACCGCAGTGAGGCATTTTAAACATCCCTATTCCTGAGCTTGTGGTGACGCTGGAACAGGATGTGGCTCTACTCTGACCTGGGAGAAGACAAAAGCACACGTGTGCAGAGGGCCTGACCGCCTGCTGGCTTCTGTTGAGTGAAAAGGCATCGCCGCCTCTTCACTTCCAGCCTTCCTCTTCGCTTTGTTTCTGGGACTTTTCTCTCTGTTTGGTTATCTGGCAGTGTTTGCCTGAGGTGAAGTGTGTATGTTTGAGTTTTTGTTTGCGTGAGTTTTGAGGCGGAAGCTCACGGACATGCCCAGGCAGTGACTCAGAATTGCCTGGGCAGTTTGGAGGGGTTTGCTTACCAAAGGAGGGTCAGGTGGTGTTTATAATGGTGTGTCTGTGTATGAATGATATTTATTATTGATTACAGTTTGAGGTTTTTTTTTTTAAGAGAATCTGTCAACAGGGAGATGATTTAATCCAGAAAAGGTCGATGGAATAAAGAGGAAATAAAGACTGGTAATTCACATGTTAATATTTTGCGTAGCGCTGGTCTGCCAATAGGAGAGTATTAAGTCTTCTACATTTGTCCAGATTATTTTTGGGGCCTTCCACCACCACGTCTTTATAGGAGGGCTTTTCCTCTCTTATGCTCTTCAGCTCACCTGTCTGGGAATTTACATGACCATGACAGCAAGGGCTCTTCGTTTTTTCTTTGTTTGTTTCTTGTGAATGTTTTGTTATGTTGTTTCGCTCATGTGGTTTGGATCATTCTCCTACAAAAAGGCCTAAAGAAGACCCAATTTCAAAAAAATTGTTTCAAAAAGTATTCACCACATGGTTTAAATGTTCTGGAGAAAAAGAGAAAAAAGGCCCACAGCATCACATATCATCTACCATACTTAACTATGGACATCAGGTGCTTAACCAGATATTTTTACTTCAGAAAAAAAAGAGACTTTTTGCACATCTTTACCAACAAATTTTAATTCCAATTTTCTTATGCATAAAGTTAGGCTAGTGTACATTTATGTACACTCCAATAAAGGGAAGAATTAACTACATACAAGTTATCTATAGAAAACTTGAAAGCTTCTCCCTTCCTTTGTTATCCCAGCTTGTGGGAAAGTACAACCATCTCTGGAGGCGGTTAGCTCTTGTCGAGGATTTCTAGATGTGTGTTGTGACAACCTCCAGTTCAAATCAGTGGCTTCAGGATCTCACTGTCTCCCCACAGACTAAACAGTCCTTCATAGAGGAAGTCAGATATGGCATCACCTGCAACAACAGAGGAAGGCTTTGATAAATTCATACGGACAAACGTAAGAATGAAGGTCAAAGGACTGGATGTTTGTGCTCCTGCTTTCGTCTCCCATGCTTGTTTCAGAGATGTGCAGCCTTGCAGCCATGGGCGCCTGGGTGTGATAGGATGGAGAGTGGAAGGACCAGAAAGTCCCGGAGCTTGGAGGACATGTTGAGACATGAAGCTGCACAGTGTTTATTACGAGCCTCATAATTAACACCCAGTGAGCCCTGCAGATGATCACACACATTAGAAAAAAAACAAGATGTGTTGCGATGTCATTTCTAAGGGTGTTGTGTAGCATAGTACAGAACTTCAGGGGTCTAATTAGAGATTTAATCAGTTGCATATAACAGGGTCCTTGTTAGACTGCAGAGAACCCAACTTTTCTCTTGTATCTTTGTACAATTTGTTAATTAAAACTAATTATATATGCTGACACAAAACTGTCGTAAGAGGAGTCAGTTTCAGTGTGAGTCGCAGTTTTAATGCACTAAACTCTGAATCTTTAATACTGACTGTGCATGTCTGTCTCCATTTAATATTATAAGAGGAAAAATACTGTTATCATAAAGTGGGGAGTGCATTTTATATGTTCAGCAAATGTTGCATTTGAGAAAAGAGGGCTGAATAATGAAGGGGAAACTCATACATTTTTCAGGCTCATCCTGTGGCTTCCAGTTCTTTAGATTCCTCTCCGACAAGTCAGGTTTTCTCAAGATCTTTAAGTATTCTTCCATTTTTAAAAGCCACATTTAGTTGATGTTTGCTAAGCCTCTTAACTCTGACTTATGAAACATCCAAGCACCAAAAAGGATCATAAACTTAAGGGATTAACCTGTGTTATGTCTACACACAATAGAAAACCTTACAAATAACAAGGATGACATAAACAGGTGATTAACAAGGAGCCATTACTTGAAACTTGGCATTAAAGTAGATCTTGCAGTTCCTGTTGCAGGTCTTTGCCTGATTCACTCCTGTGTCGTAAGGACATGATGTCCTTAGAACTCGGATACGTTCAAATTAGGATTTATAGACCACACAACTAATAGTCATTTTTCAAAAGAATGTCCGATCTTAAATGTGAATTTCTGCAGCTCCTCCAGAGTTACTGTTGTCAGCTTATCTCCTTTGTTAGCTTTGGTGGACAACCATGTCTTGATATTGTCAGATGTGTTTGGAGCTTCTTTTGCTTGGAATCTTGTGTCGTAACCTAAAATCAGATTCGAAAGAGCTGAACACATGTGCTTATTGTTGAGATTTTATTTGGGGTTTTTTATAAATATGTTTTGCTACAAATAATATTTTCTTTCCACCTCACAGATGTGTTTTACTTTGTGTTGTTCTAGCATAAATAAATAATCCCAATCAAATACCTATGAGAATTTGATCAGAATGACCCAATATGTGAAAAAAAAAAATCACTTGGTTCTTGGAACTTGGTTATGCCAATAAAACTATTACAGATCCAAGGTGACACTTTATTTTTGCTGCAAGTCTGGCCCAACACACCCATGCCCGTAAATGTTCTGTGAAGGTTCAGAAATGTGTGAACTTTTCGACACTTTTGTGAAACTGATTAGTGTGTATGACAGTGTTTTGAACACTGTGAACGGTGGTGAAAACCTCCTTCTACCAGTAAACCATACATAGTCCACCAAACAATGGGAGCAGTATGGATGGGCTGCATGTGATGGGTCGTTGACAAATCCAGCAGAGTCCGCAGGTAGCAGCTGCTGACGATCACAT